CCCTGAAACAACCACCCACCATATGCAATGTTAAATAAAGTGCCAATATTCAAATAACAAGACAACAAGCAGATTTGTTGCATAAAATATGTAAATATTATTAACAGAAAGTGCCATATGATATCTCATGTTTTGATGGTTTCTGATCACCTATCTTTTCTGCCTTCTCAGGCTCTCAGCTAAGAATACTCTCGTCAACAGGTATGGATGGACAGGCCACACTTCTGAGCAGACACCTGCAGTTCTGCCCTGAGGAAACTTACCATATCCCCCTGCCTTTGATTCTATTCAAACTTATCAGCACAATTTATTTTGACCATATTCTTCCCTACTCCTTATTTTTTTCCATCTGTGCCTCTGTGCCTCTTTTAGGAAACATCCTGAGTAAAACTACCGTTTAAATGATAACACCCAAAATATCAATGAGATCGGTAATCTGCAGTCACGTCAAAGCAGCTATGCTTGAAATTTCTAGCATAAGTTAAACAAAAAAGTTAATCCTAAAAATTCAAGATTAGAAAAAGGAAGAAAATTAGAAAATCCAACCATAAAAACCACTTGCTAAACAGACTATTTCTTCACAGTCTTTGAAAAAAAAAAACAAAACTCGTTCCATTATTAATAAACAAAAATTTAGGCATAATCCACGAGTGTGTGTGTGTGTGTGTGTGTGTGTGTGTGTGTGTTAATTGCAAGGTGGAATAACTGGGGGACGTGCACTCCTGCAAGTGGTACCCAAAAATAATTTCTAAGTTCAAATGATGTTAACAAAATATTAGCTCTTTTATATCTCAAAAGAGACACCTATACTAAGATTGTTTTAATCAAGAGGAAAAAAACGGCATCATTTTTCTGTACCATAGGTTTATTCTGGCTTATCAATGACTCCAGAACAAAATATATATGCTGATTAATCAAGTTTTATCGATGAGTAGCATACATCAATATTTCCACACAAATGTCTACAGAATTATTTCTCCCAATCCAAATTTTATAAATCCATTTAAATTGCTGGTCATTAAATTTATTAGCTCTCCAGCAATGAATGCAGCACTTTAAAATCAGTAGTACATATATGAAATGTATACTCAAGAATGTATCGATCAGAGGTAAAACATCAAATATTTCTATTAAGCCAAGGTTCTAAGAACAAACTAGCAAGTAGAAACCATAAAAGCCTGCAATTGTTTCAAATACAACTAGTAATTCTGCTGATTTTAGACCATTAAAACTGATTACTTAATTAGGCAATCATTCAAGGCATCCAAACACTCACACAGACAAAAACAGGCAAGCATTAGCATAGCTGTCTTCACTTAGAAATGAAAATCCTGAAAAACATCGCAGACACTCAAACTTTCTGAATCTGTCCCTATACATGAACTAAGCAAGATACACATTCTAAAAGGTGACGACCTGAAACACAGGAAAAAAAATTATCTACAATAAAATTGGTCATTTAACTTTCTTAGAAACGCCAAGTCATAATACAGATTGTCCCTACAGATTCTGGGAAATACTACTTCATGTCTCCCCTCTGGTCATATTCTTGTATGATCTAAAAGTAATTAATGACATTTCTGCTCTCTTATAGGTCTATCAGAAGTACCTGCCTACAAAAAGATTTTCAAAGTTCCTGCCTAACATGAATAAAAAACAACCAAAAAAGATTTTCTACTTATGGGGGGGTAGGGGGGAACAGCACTGGAAACTCAGCTGCAGAAATCTTAAATATAACTACAGAATAAAACCCTGTATTTTAACACAGAAAATATCTAATACAGGTTTAAGAAGCTCTATGATTCAGTCGTCATGAAAAAGAAAAATATTTGGTTTAAAAAAAGATCTTTCTTGAAATAATTCCAGAGAGTCTATAAACTATCTTAAGAAAAGAGAAAAGCAACCCAACTCACACATCCAGCTTCCAAACAGAAGGCTTACCCTCTTCCAGGAAAACAACAATGAGATTTTATTGCCCTGCTATGATTCTTTCATTTCAGACATGATTAATTAACAAGTATTACACTTCTCAAAACTCTCACCACACTCTGCTTATTTGACAGACCCACATGAAATAACAAGTAGGCACAAGCAGTATAAGACAAGTATTCAAAAACTCTTTTTCTAAGAGGGAACACTTCTTTTATATTTTTGCCTCCAAAAATAAAGCAGGCTGCTTTTAACTGCTTTCATACAATGTTTTTTCCCCCCAACACTTGGTAATTTTCCTAACGATACTTTTTAATTCTGAATAAGGCAACATATTCAGTGCTCAAGAATAAATGGCATATTTCATCTAATATCTCTATTTTTAAAATGAAAGTCCAAAGGACTTGTGAGTCCATGTAGTTTATATTGATAATCATCCACACACGCACAATTAATAAACAGAGATGATGTGTGCAAGCATGTTTTAGGACATGGTTTTTATAGAAAAAAAGTTTCTTTTACAAAAAAAAAAAAAAAAGCTAATTGGTTACAAATATAATGGAGATAAGAGACCAGAATAATGGAGAAAAAGAGAAGGAAAGAGGGTAACTCTAACATTTGAATGAATGAAAAACTCTGATTCTCTGCATATTCTTCCAAATTACTCTTTCAAAATAATTTTCCTTTTGAACAATCAATTTTCAAAATGTCCCTATGCACCAAGGAACCGGACGTAACTGGAAGTATTATAAATGTGTATTTTAACAATCATCAATTTGTAAAGGCTGGGATTTTCCCTTCAACCTTTCAACTATTGTGTCCAGAAAACTTCACACATCACGCAATACTAATAAATAGATCTTGTTTGGTCCAGGCAACATTTTAAAAAATCTATACTGGTCAAAATATCCTCGCTTTTTTTCCTGTTGTATTAAATTTAGGATCAAAAACATCAAAGCAGCTTCCACCTCGAACCTAACTTTTAGAGGATCAATGTGACAAGGCAGTCCCTGATAGATGTTTCTCTTGATAAACGACTTGTTCAAAAGAGACATTGTAGCTTTCATTTCCTGACCACAACACACTTTTAATTTGCAACAGCAGAGCTGCCAGAGTGTGAGCACTTGCCCACTTTCCAGCCTTTTAGGCTGGTAGCTCTGGTTCCTTTTAGGCCACACATTTGAGACAAACAAAATCTAAAAATAACAGAGTAATACAATTAGAAAACAGGAGCCATTAATGTCATGTTGTGCATGTACACAAGTGTCTACTTTATAGACATGTATGTGTATAAACTTTCACCCCCAGAATTCTAGCGTAGGGTTACAAGGCTCCTAAGTGAACATCATTTGCACATCGGGCATTTAAATACACAGGGAGATAAATTACGTGACTATTATTTAATAGAAAGCAGAGACTTAAGGAGAGGCAATTTACACACTTAAATCTGCTGTTAAATGTCATGAATTATATGACTGTCTACGCCAGCTTGTTTTTTCCGTATTATTGCAATGATGATTATTACTGGTATCCAGAAATCACATTTAAGTATCAATACTGTGGACAAACCATCCAATTTCTGCTCTCAGCACATTGTCCGATTTAAAATTTATAAATGTAATATCCTCCTCATCACAGGCAGCGGCCCAATCTGCTCTGAATATATATTACAGCTTTAACATCACAGAGGGAAATCACCCATCTGGCAATCCCATTCGCTCCAACAGCTCCGGGGGAAAAAAAGCTGTGCTCTCTCCTCCTTAAAACATTTCTCAGGGCAAATTATGTGCATCTAAAATAAACAGTCTTCTTATTGATCGCTTCAAAGTCAACAAGTTCCAAATGCAAAATTCAATGAAATCCTTCCTATCGTGTAAGAGTGCTGTGTATTTAGCTCAATAGTCACCAGAGTCCAACCAGAAGTGCATGTCGCCGCGCAACGGGTCTCGTTCCCCCTTTCCTCGTATTCACATTTGTGTGAGGAGAGAGCAGTGACCACGGACACACTACAGACCCCTGGCAGCTTGGACTCACTGTTATTCTTTTTCCTTTTTGTTTTCATATTTTCTCTTTCCTTCTCTGTCTCTTTTCAGGAAGAACTGATGGTGGTGGGGTAGACGTAACAAAAAAAAAAAAACAGTTTTAAAGTGGTCACATCCCTTGCTTATGCGAAATACTTAACATCTTTTTGTTGTTGTTGTCCCCCCTCTTAGTCTTAATTGAATATCACAAAGTGTACACACGGCATTGCCACAAGAGCTATTGAAAACCCCCTCTCACTCCATTTAACTGACCTTTTTTTTTTTTTTGTAAAGAAAGAGGAAAGAGCGATTTCAAACGAAGTCAATTTCAGTGCCTGATTATTTAATTCTGTCACAAGTTAAAAGTAAAAAGCGCTGACAGGCAGACAAGTGAATAGTAAGGGGGGAAAAAACCTACCACTGTTCCTAAAGACGTTACAGACTTTGAGCAATCAAAAAATGTGTTTTATTTTCATGTAAAAGAAACCTCTTCACTTACCTAAAACAAAACAAAACAAAACACTCAGAAGAACCGATTACTCCACAAAGTGCAATTATCGAGAGAGCAGATAGTCAAAAATGCATTAAAAGACCGAAGGAGTGGAAAAAAAGAAATTTTCATCCAGTCCTGTTCCTGTGTGTGTACATAGATACTTTCATTAGTTGGTAATCTTTCCCCACACTCCCGCCCTCTTCCCTCTTTGCCCAGCCCCCCCACCAAAAAACCCCCACACTGAGTTTAACTAATTTACATACCATTTGACTTCAGCGGTTATATAGTGCATTACTAGTAACATGCAACTTCGGGATTACAGCTAAAACCAATAAAAGTGGATTCAAGTAATAAATTAATCAAAACAGAAATATATAAACAAGTGATAGCAAAAGAAAAGCAGCACGGTGACAGATTAAAACACACACATATATTTTCAAGAGAAATCATGTACCATAAGCATCGGCTTCCCAAGCAGTCTTCAATGGTTTTATCATACTATTTCATTTGTCTTTCCTATTTAGATGCAAAGGAAATAAATTCCAAAACTGACATACCATAAACACTGGTGCTACTGATCATTTCTTGCTGGCAGCACAAAAAGCTGAATTGGATTTCTCACAAGCAGGAATTCCAAAGGTTGCTTTTCATTAAAGCCACTTTTCCTCTCAGCTATCAAATGTCACTGCCTTGAAACGTGGGCCCTTTCGTCAGGTATTCATTTAACCTACATGCATATAATTAAGGGGGAAAGCAACATCAACAAAAAGGGGATCTCAGATCACAGGAGAAGAAAGAAAGGAAAAAAAGCACATGACCAGGAATGCAAGTCCATGTCAATTTCACTCACTCCCATTGAAACTAACAAGAGCTCCGGGGAGGACGGTAATAGGATCAGTGGATTGTATATACCATTAAATTATACATCTTTCTCTCCCGTCCCTTGCCAACAATACGCCCACCACGCTGTACCCCCTCCAAGATGATGTGCTTACATTTTTCTGCAACCGATCTTCTGACATTTTCTCGTTCCCCCAGCCACGAGATTGCAATTTAACCTCAACTTTTTGTGTGTGTGCAAGATTCTTATTTACACTTCTTATTTACTTAGAAGTTAGTTCCCGAAGAAAGTCTAGCCCCACCCTATGGCTCCGCTTTCTTATTTTTTATTTTTGAAGTAAAAAGATAGTAATAAGTGAGCCCAATATAGCGAAAAGCGAGATTCTTGCAATAGCGAACTCTTAATCCCATACTATTGTTACAATGATTAAGCAGCAAAAATATGCATTATAATGTTTCAGGGCTACTTTGAACAGACAGATTAGACAGCAGGTTGGCGTACCGAATAGAAACGAGTGCGAATTAAATTTAATGTTTACGGCACAACTCGAAGATCTCTTTTTATTACAGCTCTTGGATCTATTTATATTCTTTAAAAATAAAACAAAAACAAATTTAAACAGATGGTAGAAAACTACGAAGCTCCTCTTACCTGGACGCGCCGGGAGAGAACCCGATAGGTTAGCGTAGCATCGATCCGATGTGTTTGCTGATGAATGGAAGCTAGGGTTAAGTGAAGGTGCCTATGATTTGAAATCATTCCAAGTTTTTGAAGGGAAGACGGACTGCAGCCTCTGCCATGTTGGAATTTCAAACCCAAAACAGCTGCTTGGAAGGAGCCAGCATGCCAGAGGCTGGGCGCAGGCGCAGAGCGCCGCCGAGCCAAATTCAAATCACTTTCACACTAAGAGCCAAAGATCAGTTTTCAAAGGAGAGAGGGAGAAAGAGACTGAGGCTGCCGTGAGGGAGCGGAGACGGGAGGCAGTGGCGAGAGGCGGGCAGTGGCGAGAGACGGGCAGCGGGAGGACCGGGAGGGAGAGGGAGAGGCGCACGGAGCCCGCGGAGCTGGAGGGGGAGAAAGGGAGGCGGGAGGCGAGCGGCGAGAGACGCGCCAGAGATTCATGGGCAGGGAGGGCTCAATGGCCGCGCCGCCCGGCCGGCCGGCCGCTCGGGTCATGTTACACGGCCGGGGCCGCGGCGGCCGCCCAGTCTCGCCGACGCGCTCGCGCGGCCCGGAGGGGGCCCCGAGGTCATGATTACGCGCGCGAGGACTCGGAGCTCTCCCTGCCCGCACCCTCCGGCGGTCCAGCGCGGGGAGGGAGAGCGACGCCTCGGGGGGAAGGGGCCTTTCTTTCCCACGCGTGACCGGCCGGCCCCTGCGCTCCCCGGCCGGCCTGGGAGGGCCCGGGACGGGACTGCGCCGAGCCCCGGCCCGCGGGCCCCTCCCCGCCGGCGCCGAGCCCTCTGGACAGCTGCGGTCCGTCCACCTCCCCACCCCCTCCGCGAGCAGGGCAGGACCTAGCCCCAAGAACTAGGTCCTCACCCGCATTCTCCCCGGGGCCCCCGCACCAGCCGGAAAATGACTTTATCTGCCTAGAAGAGGCAACTTCTGGGGGGAAATCGCGTGAACCACTTCCCCTCCCCCGCCTCCCTGGGAATAAATAAAATCACAAGTGTCTAGGTGTGCGGTCCCCTCTAGAGCTCCGGGCTCCCCTCCCTACCTCCCCCAGGCGGCTCCGGCGAGGGAAAGCAGCGCCGGGGGCCGGGGGCCGGCTGCGGTGCGCAGGCATGGACGTTAGGCTCCTGCTTTCCCAACCCCCCACTATGGAGCAATCTGGGGACCCAGGAGTGGGAAGAGAGTGGGGGCTTTGTGGTGTTGGGAGCTCAGAAAGAATGAAATGTGCAGTTGAGTGTGTTGCCCGCATCCCAGGGAGCAATGCAGTGCTGATTGTCTGTTGCTGAGATAGCCTTTTGTTCGGAACATAAGGTTTAAGAAACACACACACGTTTTCTGGGGTCTCTTGTTAGATGTAAATGTGCTGCATCCAGACGCTTACTATGCAGTGTAAGCTCAGTTGGTTTACTAATCACCCCGCCCCACCCCCAAACAATCAGGATCATTTGAATGGGAACCTCATTCAGACTTCTAGGCTGAGAGTATTGCCTTCAACCTATTTCATTCTAGACTAGCCAACCATCCAACTGAGATAATAAAGCAAACAATAACATTTGATCATGATGTCTACGAGATAATGTGCCCTGCAAAGTTCTTTAGGAATCGTAATGAGAAAGAGAGTGAGTTAGGTAATAATTTCTCTTCCTTTTCATTAAATATGACTTTAATAGATAAATGGTGAGTTTATACTTTGGCCTGGTGGACTTCCAGTCCTCTATATTTCAACTAAGCTAAGAATGCAAGAGGCAAATTATATATTCGACCAGGAGCCTATCCAACTGAAAATGTTACCTTTGAAGGCTGGAACAGAAAATGTACTTGTTTAGGACTGACCCTCCTCATAACAGGGTTCACATTCCTCCCAGCTTCTCTGTTGTAGATTTAATAGACTAAATTGCAACTCTCCAGATGCTGAAATCCAGCTCTTAAAAAAACACCAAATCTATACTTTGAAATTAATTTCATTCTCCTTTTATGATTTTCTTACCTTTGAATGGATGCATTTAGCTAACACAGAAAGAAAAAAATATTTTAGTTAAATCGAGGCAGATGACAGAATTTAAAAGACAAAAAAAAGTGATTCAACATCTTAAAAAATATTTCTAAGGAATGAGATTTCTGTTTGGAATGGATTTGACCTTTCTGTACAATTTTGTTTTTTTTCCAACTAGGCTTCGAAATAAAACAGAAGAACTTTATTCTGGTTCAGCAGAGAACACTGAAACCCCTTTAGTTATATTTTATGAGATAGCTTTGAAAATGATATTATGAAAAGTTGTTCATCAAATTTTACTACAAAGAAATACGTATAGGAAAATATCTGAGGGTCACTGTTGCATTGAGTACAGATGAATTAAAAAAAAAAAAAAACTGTGAAGAACTCATAACTTGGGTTATTGCCCATGTGGGGAGTGACAACCAGAAGCCCTGTGGACACACAGCAGATGCTCTGTGCGATTCAGGCAAAACTGCTCTGTCCGTGTTTGTTAAAAAAGTTCAGAGCTCATCAACCTTTCACACTAAATTCTTAGTATTGAATTTATAGTTCCTAGCATAAATCAAAATTCAAAAACATGTATTAGAATACCTACTGAGTACAAAAAGTATGTATTTTGGTAACCAACTTCAAGCAATCCTCTTGTAATATCTAAAATAAAATAACCCTAACTCCATAAAAAGGGGAAGAAAAAGCGTGGTCAGCAGGAGTTTATTAACGGATAATAACTAGCACTTTCTCTAATTCCATTATATATTTATTTGAAATAGACATTATAAAATCCATCATTAAACATGAGGAAAGTACTGGAAAGAGCATTGCCTGTTTTTACACAGAGTTTCAAAATTGTTTAAAATCACACATGCTCTAGCATATGTAACAAACATACATCATGAGATTTACATAAATGGTAAGATGTAGGAGGGAGATTGTCATTGGATTACTTCTAACATTTGTTTTCTTTTAATTATGGGTAAAAGTTGCTTTTCTTTGAGGACTCTGAGCAAAGGAAAATAAAACTTGACTCTGTTTTTCACAGAGATTCATTGCTCTGTTTTTGCAGTATTTCTGTTTTTGTTGTTTTAATAAAACTCCCCTTCATGACATGGTGTTATTAAATAGCATTTTAGCAGTCACCATATTATATCTACATTTATCTTTAAAACTTCTATACAAAAGAAACATTTCTGGCTGTAACTGACATCCATCTCTCTAATATATTTTATGAAACTCTTCTTGTAACAATATGAGGATTAAAAACTGAGCATTCTCTGAAAGTTGATTGGCTCATCAAGGAAACAGTTAATTCAGAGAAGAGCCAATTTGAATAATTTTTCTGCCCTGCATTAGTCACGTGCAGTGCTTTTTTCTTTTTAATTTTTCTCAATGTAGAGATATTAAAATACACGAAGTTATATTTTGAAAAATATATTGATTTCCAATACACAGTATATTCTGACTTGGTCTTTTTAAAGAAAATCCGAAGGAAAATTTCTTTTCCTCAAGAGCGTGTGTTGCACGTGAGTGATTGCTTGTGCATGTGTGAATTTGTCACAAGCTAATTCAGAGGAAAATAATTCTACTTTGTCCTTGTTCTTATTCTCAAGATGATGTAAGCAATAATACAAAAATGAAGGGTAAAGAAGTAAGCAAGGTGATAATGAATGTGATTTTGCAGATGGCCACATGCTTGTCTGCACTGGATGAAGGGTAATACGATCTAGGTTTGACACAGAGATGAGCTTTACCTAAATGATTGGAGAAGAAAGGAAAGGAAGAAATGAGTGTAGGTGGAAGGAAGGAAGAGGATAGCAAAGATGAGGACAATCGTGGTGACGAGATGCTTTAAAGAAAAAACCAGTTTGAAGGGCTATGAAGTATAGTTATATATACAATGCCAACCAATTCAATTTAATTTTTAAAAACCTGTCTTTTAGTTTTGAGCTTAAATGTTAAATATTTGAATAAAACATTAATACTATCTTCTTCCAAACTACTGTGTTTCCAAAAGCATTTTAAGACTTTGTCATTGTTTAAGACATCGAGACTTTTTTTCATGTTGCTCACAAAATCTGAAGTCTGTCTTACAATAATGTAAATTAGTGACACAGTCATTTTTTCATGCTTCCATAAACTTGCAGTTTTAAAGATCATCATTTGCCCTTTGATTCAACAAAACCTACTAAGACGTTCTTACATGCCACCATCCCCTCTTCCCCCCCAAATCCACAAGAGCTAGTGAAGACCTTGACCTCACTGAGTAAAATTACTCAATATATTCAGAATTACTCTTGATACAGGTCCTGTCAAATAAGATTACAGTGGTTCATTCATCTCCTCAGTGATCTAGTCCTGTGATAGAGACAAACTGGAAAATCCTAGGATGGGTTCATTTCCGATGTTTTCTTAGTTATTCAAAAATATTTCCTTCTCGTAACCTAAGAATTGTATTTTTTCACTCCCATTTATTTGTAGCATTCATATATTTGCTGTACCTTCTGCCTGATTTTGCACGGTTCTCAATTTCATTTAGAAAGTGCATGCTGAATACCTACTGTGGTTGAAAGTATTACACTAACAATTGCAGAGGATTGAAAGAAAACTGACATTAACATTTAATGGATGAAGCCAGATAGATGTAGCTCAAAGTGGATGTTATAAAGTGAAGTGATAAAAGATTTCTGTCTCGAAGAAGATCTAGGTTCTTTCAGAAGCAGAGGGCAACTTCTCTGGACTTTGTCATCTCTATTGTTAATACAACAGATCACTTGCAGTTTGCATAGGCTGTGCTGTTTCTGCTCTCTGAGCTTTGCTTATCCTTGTGCCCTCAAACTAAATTGTCTTTTCCTTCTACTGTGGGCTAACTTCCTTAATACTCAGTACTTACTCCTCCAAGGATACTTCCAACCTTTCTAGAGACACCTAAGTGTCTTTCTCCTGGGCTCTCTTCAGACTCTCTCTCTCTTTGTACCTTTATATTATTTTAAAAGTATCTCAGTGTTTGGAGCCTCCATTAGAATGTGAGTTTCTTGAGGACAGGCGATCATTGCAACTTCTGTCTTTGCCCGCCCACCCTGCCCTTAATTAACAGCAACAATTCATAATAAATGGTTCCTGGGGAAATGGGTGAGTTGACAGGTAAAGGAGGGA